AAAACATCATTGTGTCATCAATCTTAAAAGTTTGGTTTGGGTCGCAATTCATTTGTCTTCTTATACCCTATTTCCTGATTTTGGCCGCGTTTTTTGATGAATAGTTAAATTTGACTATAGTTAAAAGATTATAGAACAAATAACAATTGGTCAAATTTTACTACATTCTACTATGTATTTGACGTGACATTTACTTATAGTCAAATGTAACCTATGCATCAACGCGGCCTTAGAAGTATGTATAACAGGATTTTGTTTGTATGTAAATTTATTTGTACCTAAGTGCACCAAAAACAATATTAAAGATTAAATTTCCAAATCAGAATGATCTCATCGGGCTTTGATCGTTTTACTTAGACTGATGATAAAATAACTTAATTTCACTTTGATCACTCGTTCATTGCGACTCAGCGCGAATAAGTTAAAAGTTTACCATATCTCCGCTGTCTAAGGCAGTAAGTAAAAGCCGCAAACTTAGCATTAACAAACTCTTACACAATTTAACACCAACAATCAAGATACTGAATACACCATACAATGAACAGAACACACACAAAGAACTTTCGAGCAGCACTGCTGTTTAGGCTTTGTGTAGACTTGGCAAATTTAATTGAAGCCATTAAATAAAACAAGTTTCAATGGTATATTTGCACTGATTTATTTATGACGTTTCGTATACTTTTCACCCTGCGTCGTCAGAATTATGATTTTACTAGCGGCCCGCCCTCGCTTCGCTTCGGTGTAGAGCTGAAGTGTAGACTACAGTTTTTGTTCTCAGGCTTGTATTATACACAATGACATTCATCTATGATTCTTCTTATACCTGCATGCAAAGTCTCAGCCCGATCGGTTTAAAATTGACAAAGTTTCATACAAACTTTCATTCCCTATTTTATCCCCTTGGGGGTAGAATTGACCAAAATCCTTTCTTAGCGGATGCCTACGTCATAACACCTACCTGCATGCCAAATTTCAGCCCGATCCTTCCAGTGGTTTGGGCCGTGCGTTGATAGATCACTATGCCAGTCAGTCACCTTTGAGTTTTATATAATATATAGATTATTTACTTTGTCGAGCTACCTTCGAAAAACTTTTTGAAGCCATTGTCAACTTCTTTTAGAAAAAAAACATAGAAATCTAGGTAGATTGACTAGATGGTGGCAAGGACAAATACGATGGTGATGAAAAGCGATCACAAAAAGTCGTAAAGTATGTTATTGCTGTAAAACTGTATACTAGCGGATATCCCGTTCCAATTGGAGCACAATTGGCACAGAAGGTCACAGTAAAATAACACTACCTTATGGTGGTGTTGTATTTTCGTCGCTGAATAAGGTTTCAAGGCTCCACGAGGTAGGAGATAGAATAAGGTTAGGCAAGTTATATTTTTGGTATCGCTAGCTTCTATATGCAATGGTGGTTGATTTCTATCAAGCGTTTGCCACCCTTTTTTAACATAAAAAATCAGAGATTGGACATTACTGGAAAGGTTAAACAGCAGCACTACCTGTAGGTACTACCTCTATTATTTCTCTTGTTGAAATGTCATAAGGTCAGATATTATCGACTACATAGATGTTTTAAAACTTTGCAAACTGACAGTGAAATCTTACGAATAAAGTCTAGTTGCTACTTTATGGGTCCGTATTTCTTAGAATACTAATTTCTTTCAATTACATATTAACTGTCGTGTACACCTCATTGCATTAATGAAAGATTTTAGTCCCTCAGTCTGTGAGCTGCTTTATCCTCCAAGAAAATGGCTGAGACCTAACTCTACAGAATGTTAGAATAGTAATATGAATTGTATCAGCATTTTGCGTTGAACAAAGTTATTTGTATTTCAAAGTACAATTTCAACATACACGCAAATAATATCACACGCTCGATAGAATACTGAACGAATAGTACTTTGGTTAATGTTAATTAACGCACAACTATATGTTTGATATTTGCATTTTTTTCCAATGATCAACAAGAACCACTGAGCATCATTTCCCTCCATGATCTATGAAAACATAAGCATCATCATCAGCCTATTAATGCCCCCACTGCTAGGGCACAGGCTTTCCTTATGGATGGAATAGGGAGATTGGGCCATGACAAACCACGCGGGCCTAGTGATTGGTGGGTGCTAACGACTACAGATGCGGCCGGGACCAACGGCTTAATGTGCCTTCCGAAGCATGGAGGAACTCGATATAGAAGATTTTTGGTCACCCATCCAATGACCGACCACTGTTAAAGTTGCTTAACTTCAAATCGCAGCTGAAACCGCTAACCACTTGCACTAGCGAGCTTCTCGCAATACCGGGCTATAAAATATCGGTGTTACCATACTTAGCGATCGGTCACTCACTCCCACTTTCATTGATCACAATAAATGACGATCTCCTCAGTCAGTGGTACCACTACCTTATACCTTATTATGAAGTAAGGTGTCATTGACGCTCCTAATCTTTAAAATCACAGCTAGTTTAAAATTCAATATCTGCGCCCGTGTTGTGCGGTTTATCAAAGTGATATTCATTTCAGGAGTACTGATAAAAAATGAAATTAAATTGTTCTTTTGACATAATTTACCATTTTAAAATAAATTTAAATAACGAGAAGAACTAGGTTTAGCGGCCGTCTGAGATTTCGTCCGCGTTAACTGTGTTTTGCAAAACCCTCAGGAAACTAGCATTTTTCGGGATAAATGTATCCTATCTCAATCCAGGTAATTACCTGGATTGAGACTTAATTAGTATAAGTGTACAAAATTTCATCGAAATCTGTTTAGCCTTTTTTACGTGACTGAGTAAGAAACATAACAAATATACAAATATATTCAAGGTAGTATAGTAGGAATAGTAACGTCACTAACGGGGGAACATGAAATAAAGATGCTGAAAAAATCTGGCAGCGCTGTCAAAAAATAAAATTTAAAAAACCGGGTTCAGAGTATGATATCATGCCCAAGTTTTGTTTGTTTCTCGGAACAGGGGAGGGATAGGACTATACGATAATGCAGTGCTGCAAACTCTCCTGATTGACCTTATCAGTGGCAGCAGCATGAGAAGAGATTGGTGTGCTCTATCTAAGCCACGCAGACGTACGGTTATTTTTTTTTTTGGAAGACCAACAGCTGTTATAAAAATAATAAAAACTTTAATAATAACAAAAAGCCAATCACAGGTCTTCACCAAAAAAATGTGCTATGTGAAGCTTAGTGTCGTGGGCTCATATTCAGACTGTGACTTATATTCCATAACGGGTAATAAGAAGCTTAAGTTTAGGTGGCAAAAAAATCACGTGTTTTCAAATCTCGCATCTAAACTTAAAGTCTCTTGTTATCGTCCGTTAAAATAAACGCAGGAAAATGCATGACAGCGCGCATAAATGTGGATCATAACTGCGATGCGATGTCGCATCACAGGAATTTGCGTCGCAAATTGTTGCGATACAATTTCGTGCGGCAAAGCTTTGGGTTCAGGTGATCAGGCCTTCAACGGTAGGCAGCCGTATAAAACGTGTTTTAGTATAGTGACATGGAAAACAAAAAGTTTGTATGTTATTGTTAAACAGATATAGCAGAGAAAAAGAAGATTTTGGGTTCATCGATTTATAACGATTACGAACGCTGATGGGAAATATTTTTACTGGTAAATACTATGGTTTGAGAACAGAAGATTTTGTTTAATGTTTTAGAATGAGCGTATCTTCATTTGTAGAGCTTTTGAGTTAATTATCACCATGTCTACAAAATCGATCGTACAAGTGAAGAATTCCTGTTATACTTTTGGAAATAGTAAAGTAAGACAAAATTGAACTATTTATTCACATATTCATTGGTTATTGCTGAAAAAAATTGTATTTGTGATTCATAGATTAGTCTATAATTTAAGTAAAATCAAAATCTGTCCCAGAGTGGATTAAAAGTCGAGCAGGAAAGTCACAGAATGGTACCCAAGAGACAGCAAATGAAATCGAGGAAGGCAGCATACAAGGTGCGAAGATGAGTTTAAATAGACAGCTGGTCCACACTGGAGAAGGGTTGCTCAAGACAGACAATAATGGTAATCTTTGGAGGAGGCCTTAGCCAATAGATACGCCGAGCTAACAGACATTTTTGTATGTAATGTTTAGTATAGTGTGAAATGTTACGAGTTCGGAATAAAGGGCTTAATCTATATTAAATAAAAATCAATTTCTGTTCGTTAGTCTAGCTAAAAGTCGAGACGGTTGAACGGATTTATATTATCTTGGTCTTGAAATGTTCGTGGAGGTCTAGGGAAGGTTTAAAAGGTGAGAAAATATGGAAAAATTGCGAGGAAGATAGTAAAAATGACAATTTAATTTTCCCATATAAACTGTTCTATCTTCTTTCCTGTCGAAAATTTGACGTTCGTCCCTTTTGGTACGGAAGACTCGGGTCCGTCTTTTCTTCCAAATTATTTTAACCCGTACGAAGTACGCGTGGTCAACTAGTATTATATAAATAGCAATCCGAGTGATAAGTAGTGCTATCCAAGAAACTCAAGAAATCCAAAGGGTGTGGTGGTGGGGATATGGGCAAATTCGAAATTCAACTGTTTCGAATTACTTACAACTATACGCTATGATTTTTTTTCTTATCTTCTAAAGGGTCGTAGGGATATACTTAGAAGAGAAGAAAAAATCCAACCAAAAAGAGCGGGTGCAAGGCTTATGCATTGGTTGCATAAAAGTGCGTCTTAAGATACAATAATAATCTCAAATTGTATTTATCGCGCGGATGTAATTCCTATGCGTGGCGTATGCGAAACGTGCACGGTTGGACTTCGATAAATGGATTTAGAGTTTTACTAAAGTGTCATGAGACTCAAATTGCTATAAAAAGAATTTCGAATCGTGTTGGACCGGGTGCTAACTCGCGGGGCTTACGCGTAGAGGCGCGTGTCATCTGAACAAGGCCTTACAACAAAATCTATACATGACTAGTTCTTCTATCGTCAATGTAATTAGAAAAAAATACTTACACATAACATCAAACATCAAAGAGTCCTCCAATGTGTAGGCAGGAAACCATGGGTTTGAAACTCTGCACACTAACTGCCTGCCGCTATCTTCTCTTCTTATATGCCAGGACAACACGCTCTTTGTAACCTCGCCGTCTACGTCCACCTATTATTGAAATGATTATATTAACCGGTAAGCCAATATTAAAATTGTGCCAGACTGGAATTTTGTAAAAGCATAGGGTCGTTTTTTGGTAGTATAGGTAAGTTATTTCATAGAGTAGCGCTGCTCTATGAAATAATAAGGTACCTGGGTCGAATATGGCCACCTTAAGGTTTGGTATTCTTTTTTAATAATAATAAAGCTAAAACAAGAAAGTTTTAGCACTCATATATAAAGAGTGGCTATTTATCTTTACAAAAAAGGCAATAAAATGTAAAGACTTCTAATGATAAAAAAGTATTTTCAACATTTTTAAAAATATAGAAATTGGCCATATTTCCGACGGGGGAGGTAAATATGCCCATACATGTGGCCATATTTACTGTATGAGTTAGGTAGTTTAAAAATCTTCTAAATAAAATGAAATAAAAGTAGTTATCATATTTTAATAGAAAATTTATTTAAAAGATATTCTTTGGGCGATATTCAGTACAAATAAAGAACCATGTTTACAAGAAATATAATGAAAGATAAAATCAACAATGAGATTTAATAAGATATTCTAAACTTTAAACTTTAAATCCTTAAAAAACTATACTTCAAATCAACAAAATTATAAAAAATAAACCGTAAACTTCGAGATCCTTGATAGATAAATCACAATGATATGTTACTAGAAATAAGTAGGCGAATCTAATAAAATAAATATTTTAATTAGTCCTGACTGCATCGAGTGCAAACAAATTTATTCATTGATTGATGCTTCTGACCAATTACCTCTAACCCTTTAGATTTATAGCGTGCCATGATCTAAAACAAAAAAAAGGGTTACTACTTACTTAGTACCGGAAATATGGCCACGCGGTGGCCATATTTGCAGTCATGCATTTTTTACGTTTGCATATTCACGAATGAAAAACTCACTATTACTTTGGTAATTAAACAAAGAAATATCAAATTACAATCGTCACACAAATCATATTGTGATTTACAACGATTTTTAAATCAAAACTAATAAAATACAGGACAATACTTACTTGATGTTTTTATAACCTCACAACACGTTTCCATTTAATGAACACTGGACGACTAGCGGGCGCGCGGGAGGAGTGACAGGTACGGCGTTTGAATACATGCTACACTAGCGACAATTTATGATCGCGTTCAGGTTATTACAATATTTTGTATTTGAAATAATGGCATGTGGCCATATTTTTCGGCTGGCCATATTCGACCCAGGTACCTTATTAAAAAATTCAAGAACTACAAATAAACAGTGAAACAATTATGTAACAATGGATACCATCACATATTGCACTAACTGGTAATGAGAAAGCTGAACATTTTGCAAAAAAGTCTATTTCTGATGGATCAAAATTATTATTTTGCCCATGCATACTGAAACCTTACGTAAGTTTAGGCTCATTTGCTATAGGTTATGGGTAAAATATTTTAATGAAAGATCTTAAATAATACAAAATATGGTTTTGTGCCATTTTAGATCACACAAGTGAACCTCCTCATATACCTTGGTTCGATAATGGTAACATAGGTCGTATATCTATTATGATTATGCACCGACCTCGTTCTGGACATATTCCACAAAATATTTTTTTATTTCTTCTAAAAAAAATCATTTCCACTAATTCTGAAACATGTAAAAAGTGAAGTATATGCAACACATTTTAATAGAATGCGTCAAAAATTAAGCGGAAAGGAGACATGCATTCTCATTGTAATTGTGACCTCACAAAGAAATGCATAAAAGTACCTACTACAGTTTGTATTTATATATTGCTTTTTTTAACGTACTTATAATAAGGAAATAATGTATTATTAAATGAGCAGGTACTAGTTAAAAATACTTTGAAATGAAAATATTAGCTGTTAGAAGCATGGAAAAGTCAGAGGAAATTCGTCTGAAAAATAATTAATTTCATGACATTCCTCTCATTTAAAATGCTATGTTATTTAGAAAAAAAAATAATACATATGAGGTCCTGAGGATTATTTACCCTTTCGACCGTTATCATAAAATACGTCACGTGTTTTTTTTTACATTTAACGATTTTGATTCCCGGTTGTGATAAACAATTTTTAAAAAATCTGTGATGCAGTTCTACTTATTATTAAAAATAAAATGATGTCTTATTTCGGTAAAATATACTATCTTCAATATTTTATATACTTTCCCTCAGTGTGACAACGCCGTAGGACGCTTATTTAAAAAAAATCATCTTAACATTCTATCTGCTACGTGGAAACGCTTCGATCACCTTTTGTTTTACGAAGACTTTCACGTAACAAAAGACGATACATTTAGAAGAAGAAAAAAAATAAACAATTGTATTCGGGGAATAGTTTTGCGCATTCCAACCCACCTGGGTCAAAGTGGAGTCGACGAGCTGAGAATTGATGAACCAATCGATGTTGGGAGCCGGCTTGGATCCCCGCGTGGTGCATACGAACGAGCGGTCTTGCCCCGCGCGCGCCGCCCCTTTACCCGATACGCGAACGAATTGGGGCTTCACTGCACGAAACAATTACTGCATTAGATGGGAATTTTCTCTATAGTAAACTCCTACGTCGATACGATTGTTCCTCTCGGAATCTAGGCAATTATGAACTCGGCCTGGTTAATTGGCGTGCGTATCCCGTCACATTGAAGAATTGTGAAGCTTCGCTTTTACGTAAGTACTAGAATCATGTTTCAGTCGGATTTACTGTTAAAAGAATTGTTTTCTTTTTATCATCAGTAAAATATCACACATGAGTAATCACTTGGGCGTTTCTTGTGAAGCAATCTTTTTTTCTGACACACCCCAATTAGCCTAGCGCCAAGGTAAGCACCGTAAGGCTTGTGTTATGGGATACTAGTGTAACGAATAAAATATATATACTGATACAAATATAAGTATGGTTATCAAGAAATATATACAGTGGTAGTCACATAATTAAAGACCCTCCCTAGTTGACCACAAAAAACTTACTGATGGTACTAAAATTGGTATTTAATCTAGAGTAATTGTTATTAAACTATACACGACATTGTATTCTTACAATGTAGGAAAAAAAATAGTTGTGTCCGTTAGTAGTTTAGAGACTGCTTACTATGGAAACATAACACAAAATTTTTTAACTTACTTGTAGCTGGCCAGCTAATTAAAGACATTAAAAGCTGTGTTCTGAATTTACAAAAATAAAGAAACAATTGCATTCTGTTTTTTTTTTTTGCCGCGTATCTTCATGAAACGTCGATATTACATATAAACCTATTTTTTTATTAAAATTAATACGTTTTAAACCCAGCAATATGGGAAAAAACAAGAGTTGCGATTCGTCCACTAGGAAGATTATTTTCAACTTTCATAATAAAGATTGGTCATACAGAAAAATAGCAAATCACTTGAACTGTTCTAAGGACATGGTTATAATGCTATAAAACTTTTCAAGAAGTTCAACACGACCGAAAACGTACCAAGAAAAACTACTTTGCGCGAAGACTCTAAGATGGTGTTGTTGGCAAAAAAAGATCCGTTCAAGGCATCAGAACTGATACGTTCGGAGTTGTTTGGTACAGGAGGGTCAAAGGGTGTGTCTGCAAGAAGAATTAGACGGAGACTATGTGAGGCGAACTTGTACGGAAGAGTGTCTCGGAAGGTGCCACTTTTGAAAAAGCAAAATGTTATGGCAAAATTAGCATTTGCTAAAAAATATGTACACTGAACTGAACAAGATGGAAACATGTGCTTTTCTCTGATGAAACAAAAAATAATATGATTAATTCCGACGGATAACAATACGTTAAATGCCCCCCGAGCAAAGAAATGGATCCAAAGTATACCAAGTAAGTAGTTAAACATGGGGGCGGAAATATCAAACTTTGGGGCTGTTTCTCAGGACTTGGTGTTGGAACTGTCAGGAAAATAGAAGACAACATGGATAAATTTCAGTACAAGAATATTTTAGAATAAGCCTTGCTGCACTATGCCGAGCAAAATTTACCGGTCATATGGACTTTCCAACAGGATAATGATCCGAAACACAGTGCAAAGAAAAAATTAAAGAATCAGTCTGTGACAGTTTTGGATTGGTCCCCGTGCAGTCTTGATTTAAACCCAATTGAAAATTTGTGGTACCAGGTGAAGAAGACAGTGACGACAAAACGGACAACAAACATCGATCAACTTTACACAGCTTTAAGAGAAGCATGGAAGCAAATTCTGGTGGAAGCTTGGAAAAAATTGATTGCTTCCATGCCCAAGAGATGTCGTGCTGTCATTTCTGCCAAAGGACATGCGACCAAATATTGATACGTACCGGAAAGTTTTATAAAAGTGTTAGGAATATTGTGTAATAAAGATAATTTTAATAATAACAATATTTTTTTTAATTTCTTCTAAGCAAATCGAGTGTCTTTAATTAGCTGGCCAGCTATAAATACGTTAAAAAGTTTGTGTTACGTTCCCATAGTGAGCAGTGTCTAAACTAGTAACGAACACAACTATTTTTTGTCCCACATTGTAAGAATATAACGTCGTGTATGGTTTAATAACAATTAAATTGGATTAAATACCAATTTTAGCTAATGATAGTACCATAAGTAAGTTTTTTGTGGTTAATTAGGGGGTGTCTTTAAATATGTGATTACCACTGTATAAACGTTCATGACTAAGGTACAAATGCTCGTATACATCATACTAACAATTGCCCCCACTAGAATTCGAACGCGGGGCACCTTGAAACCCGGTGTACTTAGTACTCGTGCCACGGAGGTTGTCATAAAATTGGTAGCCTAAAGGTTAGGATAGATTACCAATTCTATTTTGTTTTGGAAATCAGAAACCATTTTTAATGATCATTTAATAATGTACCCTAATTATTCAGCAGTCTCGTTCTTGTACTTACGGAACAATTTCAGAGTCACTTCTCTGACGATAGGCTGCAATAACGGTGGTTCGATTCTGCACTGCAAGCGAGAACCGGCCATCTCCCTGGACAGACTTTGCAGAAGCAGTTGGCATACTGAGCCATCTCTAGTTATAGACAAACGCTCTTCGCCCCGCCACCATGATACGTCAGGCGATGGTTTACCTGTGATAACATTTTGTAATAAGGACAAAGCTAGTCAATTTCCAAATATAACCAAACCATTTGTACTATTGTAGAATTCTAGTGTCTTTTTTGGTTACAGATACAGGTTTGGCAAATCAGATAAAGCCTGTCTGCTAATACTAGGTGGTCACAGATGGTGTAAGCTATCCAAAAAAGCGTTTATAAGCCAAGCAAAGCTCTTTTTAAGCGTAATTAAAAAAAAAAACAGCGAGCGGAGCAGATTTTTGCATATGGTAGCTACAGCTACCATAGACTGTTGAGGAGTTAGCAACAATGTAAATACTTAGCAACAAGTAATTACTTGTTGATAAATACAAGTGTTAGTCTTGAATACACGAGTGTATCTACGAATGATACACTCGTGTATTCAAGACTAACATTTACAACTTTTTTGTATTGAAAAATATTAATTTCTTTAAATTAATACTCTCGGTTTTCCGATCTAACCTCGATTAAATCAAAATATTTATGAAAGTGTTAACGACAAGGCAAATACTATACTGCAATGGCGAATTCATCGGGTTCCCGACGGTTTATTTTCAACGCGTAACGTCGTATGTTCTTTACTTAATCTATTCAAATATAATAAATTGTAAACTAAAAATTACTACAGTTTAATTCTTCTACTACAGAAGGTAAAATCTATTTTTCATCGCGTTTTTAAAAAAATCCAAATATTCGTTTAAGCGTAAGCTTTGTTGACTTACGACTAAAGCTCGACTAAATATCCTCTAAGAAGCTTACCTCCAGCAGCCTGGCACGAGAGTAACAAATCCTGCCCTTCCCTAAAAGGGCCAGCAATATTTCCCAGAATTTCTCTACCTTCAAAGTCGTATATCCTAGGAGACTCTGGGGGAACTGAAACAAACAAACACGATAGTTTTCATGTAAATTAAAGCGTCGTTTAATGTCCTACTAAAACTTATTATTTTCTGTTTATCTTTCATTACAGCTCCCTTATATTATGTTGACAGAAATTTTCATATAGCAATGTTTAATTCTTCGTAAATTTAAGCTGAAAAGAAAAGCAAGACGTTTTTATTAGAAGCGTGTGCGGAACAAACGTTGTTTTTAATAATCTTCCATTATATATGTTTTATGTACGTTACTAGAGGATTGGATGGCGTAATGGTTAATGTGATTAGTCTACAATAATATGGTAGTAAAGCAAGATTTTGAGGAGCTTGATGGCGCAAGTAGTTAGCGCGTTCGGTTGCGATCGTTGAAGCTAAGACCAAAAATTTACTTTCTCGAGCTGCTCCGTGCCTCGTGAGTCACGTTAAGCTGTTGGTCTCGACTGCCCGCGTCGTGGGTCATGGCCCAATCTCCCTATTCCATCCACAGGGAAGACGTGTACCCCAGGAGTGGGGTATTAATAGTCTGAAGATGATGATGATGAAAGCAACATTCGTAGTAGCTTGTTATGTACCAATATAACCAATATATATGTGAATCATGGCCGATCACTCCCTATTCCCTTCATAGGGAAGGCTTGCACCCCAGTAATATAGAAATTAATAGGCTGGTGTAACTAAGATAATATGGTACTGGAGACGTGACTTGAAAAACTAGAGTAAACATATTTTCTCAATATCGTGAGAAATTTCGGGAGTTTCTGCTAATCAGAGATACTACTAGACACTGTGCAACTCGGATGTTGCTCAGAACTCCCTAAAAATTCGTGAAAATAAAGCTAGTGAGAATGAAAAGCTATGGCAGAGCTCAATGATCTATTTTTATTAAGTGTAAGTCACTTTTGCAATGGCCAGGAATAGCATGAATAAGCCCAGAAATGTTTATCTCAAGCTCCTTCACGGCCTAGGTGGCCGAGTGGTATATACGCCGGGTTTCAAGTTGTCGCCTACTCGAGAGGTCCCGGGTTCGAATTCCGGGGAGGGGGGGGGGGGGGGAGGCAGATGTTTGTATGATGAATACGAGCATTTGTACTCCAGTCATGGATGTGCAATATGTATTTCTGTAAAAATATACTTATATATGTATTGTATATATATGTATGCAATCCATGAATCAGAATCCCATAACACAAGCCTACAGTGCTTATTTTGGGGCTAGGCTGCTTGGTGCGAGTGTTGAAAATATTTATTTATTTGTTATTTAAATATTGATGGCCTGGATGATGAAGAAATATAGTTTGAAGAAACTCACTAATAACTGTCAGGTTGACCTTGTAATTCCGGGTGGGTGAGTCAACATAGTCGATTCTGCATCTGTACACCCCTTCATCTTGATGTGCTACCTTCTCCACGGCAAGATGTGCCGACGAGGGATCAGACTCGTTGAGAACGAAATGTGTTCTGGCACCGAACTCTCCCGCAACCGCCCAGTGCACTGGAGGGCCATTCCTGAAGTCGACTCTGTAAGGAATAAACTTTTGTTAAAATCAAAATCACCGAAAAGCAACCTTCAGGACAATGACAAAGACATGGTAGAAAGATATGGTAGGTGTGTAACCTACAGTTTTGCACGGATTTACGCTACGTATCCTCTGAGACTCTTGTAAAAAGATACTTATGTCAAGATAATAGGGGTGTAGATAGGATAGACGGGTAAATTGTACACTGGGTTCCAAGATTTTAATCTGAAGTCCTAGGAACAAATTCGTATAGGAAGAGTGCATTTGCCCTTAAGTTGTGGATGTTTAGTTTATATAACATAATTAAGTATATTTTAATTGATTTTTTAATAAATAAATATCAACTTACTTTGGTAAGGTGTTATATCATTCAAGGGTATAGTGGATTTTTCGCTAAAATCGAATCGCCCGCCTGGGAAAGTAACCACTACCTTACAAATCCAATAAAATGACACTATTTTTTGGTGGTTTTGTATTTCTTATCTATGGGCGCTTTCAATTTATGCGTTTCTTGATGGCCTGCTGCGGTGCCGAAGCGGTGCGTTTGTCGTACAGCGTACGGACGATCCTTTTTTTTCACATAAAACGCGCGGTGCGGCAACAATCCTGTTATCGAGCGTTCGCGGTACCGGCGCCGCACTGTTGCCGCACCGCGCGTTTTGTGTGAAAAATAAGGATCGTCCGTACGCTGTACGACAAACGCACCGCTTCGGCACCGCAGCAGGCCGCCCGGCCGTCAGGAAACGCATAAATCGAAAGCGCCCTATATCTCGTTATACTATTTGACGCCCTGACCTGACACCCGGCCAATCCTAGGAGATTGGATCAGAGCCGGGTGTCGTGTATCACCGTTGCCTACTTTGAGGTAGGTAACTGTGATACCCGACCATCATAACAGTATGATGTTTGGAAACAACAGTGTCTGGTTGCCACCCAATCGCTTAAAACAGATCACGGAACTTTCCTTTTCGTTGATAGATTATCTGCTCGGGAAAGTTAGCAGCTGGTGTATTCTACCCTCTATATTTTTAGGATTCCTTACTGAAAGGAGACTCCGCTTTTAGGGTTTTATAAAAAATTAGAACTACAGTCTTGAAAAGGAACCCATATAGTTTCGTCATGTCCGTCCGTCCCGTGCCCCACTCCCTCACATAAAACTTAACTGTTGACTTAAAAATCTGGGAAAATTCATGATAATAGTGCTTTCCATGAACTTTTAAGGAAAATTAAAACGGTTGGGAGATCAGTTACTTTAATAGTAATAGTCGTTCAACATATGTATTAGAAAATTTCTTACTTAATAAAAAATCCTTAAAAGAAAACATTAAAAGTGACTTAGATGAAGTTAATTGCTTAAAATAAAGACTCCTTCTGAAATATATTGTGATAACGATGGGCACATACGGAACACTACCCCGCGCGTGACAGGACGCGCACTTGGTCGGTTTTTTTATTACATACAATCTGTGTGTTGCTATCAATACGTAAAATAATAATATCCTTTAAATTAATTTATTCCTTAACATAAGTAATAGCTTCCGAACCCGAAACTGGTGCGGACACACGTCCCGTCTGCAGCCTGGTCCGCGTGGATATTTATCTAGTAAAATTATCTTTAGATTTAAACATCCAGCAGTAAAATGCTTAAAAAAGTAAAAGCTCTTTAATCACCAGTAACAGTCTCAAGAGAAATTTAGATTTCCATTCGAAATCATAATGCGCAACAAAGTATCAAAACAGCTAAACATTTACAGCTCATAAATTCCACAAATGCATCCGAAACGCAGCCAAATATTTAATTCATGTCCCCTCTGCCAAATGTACAATGCGGCACAGAGTGACTCGCACTTTAAAACTCGGTAGGAAGGAAGCAATAGTCTGTAGAACCTCCCCCTGGAAGCACTCCAAGACTCCGAAGGGAAGTGTTTGCTTAGATCCGAATGTTTTCTTCCCACGGATCAATAACCCGAGGCCAATATAAGTCATATGAGGGAGATTATATTTAGAGGTATTGATACAAGTTTGGATTGCTTGTAAGTGGTCTAATTACTCATGTCAAATGACGATGAGGAACATTAATTGCAACTTTAGACGTCAATAAATGCGTGGGAATGATAATTGCAGATTATAAAGTTTTGGCCAATTGATAATTTAATAGATGCCGGTTCAAGTAAAAGTACTTTGATAATAAATAGTTGATCAATTCAGCAGAAGAGAAACTGTTGTATATTTGTTAATCAATCACGAAAAAACTACTGATTGGATCTGTATGCTTGGTACGCATATAGTTTATAACCTGGATAGATACGTAGGATACTTTTATCTCAAAAAAATGCTCGATAACTGTGGGAATCTCTAAAAACTAAAGTTAACGCGGTTGAAATCGCGAGCAGCCGCTAGTTTATTGTATTTCCAAAGTTTGCTCTTTCTTGAATACAATAGTAACCCTACGAATAAATAAAATTTAAAACTATGCCTTTTAAAAAATTATGTCTTATCCACAAACTTAAGTTTAGTTGATACGATGTATTTCTTATGGTTTATTTTTTATAATGAGATTATAGGTCACCCTTTGATGTTTTCAATGGCCGTCTTAACGGCTTTTCGACAATTCACAAAATGGTTCTGCCTAAATAAAAAAAAATGTTGGCTGACATCCAGCGGTGCACGCTCCTTTCAACAAACCACGAAAATTATACACATCCAAATATTATTTTTATATCGGAATGGATGAAGTCTAGACTTTCTTTCAAAAATGGCAGACAGCCAAACATCACTCATCACAATATTAAAGTTTTCCAATATTTAATAAATGGTAAGAGTACAATTAATAATGTAGCAGGTTTTAGGGAATTGTAGTCACTAGGAGCTAAAGAATCTATTTACGACTCGCCACCGAATCAAATATCTCTTTAATTCTAATAGCTTCTGAGAACCTCCGAATATCCTATTTTTTTTAATGTTAGATTTTGTCTACATGTATTGTCTTCCAAATGAATACTTCGTTTGTGAAATAGAGGAAAAACGAAAATAATTGTTACCATCATGGAAATAGTATTTTATTAACAACTATGTAATTCTATAAATAAAATGTATTTTATATGTTTGAAGCTTACTAATATTTAAACGAGTAACTAATAACTATCATACATTTATGCAAAACTCGGTCGGTTAAAAATTGACAAAGTTTCATACAAACTTTCATTCCCTATTTTATCCCTTTGGGGGTAGAATCGATCATCCACTCTTAGCGGATGCCTACAAGATAACATCTACCTGCATGCCAAATTTCAGTCCGATCCGTCCAGTGGTTTGGCCTGTGCGTTGATAGATCACTATGTCAGTCTGTCAGTCACCTTTGAGTTTTATATATATATAAGATATGTACTATTGACTGTAATGGATAAATGTTCAAACATACTGACGATATTCGAACTCATTCTCTTTGGCTTGGTAACGAACTAACAACCAAATGGACTACAACCGCATTTTACTTACATACGCTCTAGTAAGTGCGTTCAGAACAAAGAAATGGCACATTTTTTTTCAAGCCCATCCAGCGTTTCTTCGCAAACTTTTACTTATCTTTTTACATTAACCACTGCGCCTGTAGTTTCCTTAACAATTTTGAAAGTCTAAACGGGACCTTTAGACAAACTTTTGGCACGACTCGTGACTCTAAAAAGGAAATTATCTTTTAAGAGGTTATTATGTGACTTCGAAAGTTTTCACTTCAAGAATTAATGTACGAATCAACTCTTTGATTAATGGTTTTGGATGTTACGAAACGGTTACAAATTTGTAAATTATTCACCTAGTCTCGCAGGACACTTTCGACTTTGTTGCTAAGGTGGAACTCAATGTCTCCTTAATGTATTTTTTATTGATTAATTTCAGACCGGAGTTCATTTATAAAAACGAACTGTTATATTTAGCTGCGCCATATTCTTTACGAGTCTATAAGTTTGAAGAAGTGTCTCCTAGATAAAATTTCTGAGATACTTGTTCTAGAAAAGTGTTACCATAATTAATGGTGTAGTCCACTAATACTAAATATACTATGACTATGGACAATGTGCCCTAGCAATGTATAAATATTGTACTTAGTAATATTTAATGCACAACGGCTGAATATTTATATTTTTATGAAAAAGGCCTCAGGAACTTTTCATAAAGTCACAATCTTGAAAATTATGACTTCTACGACGTCATTACCTTGCTACATTTAATAAAAGATGTTGCACATTAGTTACAGAGCCATCAATTTCTATATTATTTATTATTACTTAAATACTTAAAAGTGTCGCTTGTAGTATCACAATGATGGTTGTATGATACTAAATACGGTTAGAAGGCACCTAACTTTTTTTTTTTTTTTTTTTTTTTTTTTTTTTTTTTTTTTTTTTTTAACGGTGGGAAATGCATTACGCATACCCCGTGCTTTGGGATGCACGGGGTTATGTCGGACTCTCCGCGGCTTCTGGGGGCAGACAGAATGCCCTCCAGAAGGTGCCGTTCCGCGGCCTACCGACTAAAACCCACCGATGCCCCTCACAAACGCCTTGGCGCGAGCACGTCCATCACCGCCGCATCCTCATCGTCTTCTGACGAAGAGGACACGTCGGGAAGGGACGCGTCGCTGCCGGACAAGGTCATGGGAACTCGCGAGAACACATCCACGACCTCGTCGGCGTCTGCTCGCCTATGGCGAGCCCCACTCACCCCCCCAAAATGGGAGGGCCGGTGATCCCCCGGGGCATCCAGGGGATCAGCGACTGGCGGCAACCGGTGCAATGCAGGGCCTGGGCTTCCCGGGCCTGGACCCCGCTGGTTACCGTCAGGAGGAAGTAGGCGGGCGTACATCCGCCTTCTCCGCCCCATCCTTCGTCGGCGGCAAGGAGCGGCCTCTGGGTGTTCTTCCCGGGCCCTCTCCGCGTCCTCCTTCTGCGTCATGACGTCGACACAGAAGGAGTTCACCGCGTCCCACGTTTCCTCCCCCTCCAACATGACGCAGACCACGTTTTGGAGGGAGAGATCACTGCCTATAATGGCGGCCAGCTCTTGCCGCCGCTGGGAAAAGCCTGGGCACACCTCCAAAGTGTGCTGTGCCGTATCTTCAGCCGCGTTACAATGGTGGCACTCGGGGGTCGGCTCCCTACCAATGCGGTGCAAGTAGCGGCCAAAGGAGCCATGACCGCTAAGAATCTGCACCAAGTGGTAGGAGAGCGACCCGTGGCGCCGCTCCGCCCACGTGGTGAGAAAGGGGTGCATGGCCTCCAAGGTCCTGGACAACGTGCCAGAGACCGAGGCCGAACCCCTTTGCTCTTCGAGCTCCTCGAACCACGTGCGGAACGCCTCGATTTGCGCCTCCTCCAAAGCAGAGGCCCTCTCCCTCGGCGCCAGGCGCCGGTCATCATGCTGCGCGTCTATTCTGACGCGGTAGGCAGCCGCCAGAACGTGGGCTGAAATTTCCCACGGGGGAGTGCCTGCAATTATGCATGCTGCGGTGTGGGACACCGACCTGTATGCTCTTATGGCTCTCAAGGCCATAGCACGTTGCGCCCTGTGGAGGGAAGCAATGGCCCGAGAACTGAGAGCATCTGCCCACACCGGGGCGCCATACAGCGCCATGCTGCGCACTATACCTGCATAAAGACGCCGGACTCTTGCACTCGGGCCCCCAACATTAGGGAGAAGACGCGCAAGCGCATCGGCAGCACTCAAAAGGCGGGGTTCGAGACGTCGGAAATGCTCGTCGAACCCCCACCTGCCATCTATCACTAGACCCAGATACTTCATATGTCGCTTCAAAGGTACTTTAATACCGGCCACTTTTATCTCGTGGCCTGGTGGTGCTCCCCTGCGAGGCCCGTGAAACAGAAGGGCCTCGGTCTTATGCAGGGCTACCTTCAAGCCCAGCGCCTCTATGCGCCTTACGACCAGGGTGGTGTACGCTGAGGCTAGGCTTAGTGTCTGCTCCAAGTCCCCCCCTCTCGCGGTGACGAGAGTGTCGTCGGCGTAGCAGAATAAGTTCACTCGCGAGGGGAGGGCGGCACGCAGAACCCAGTCGTAACCGACGTTCCATAAGAGGGGTCCCAGAACGGAACCCTGTGGAACGCCGCGGGACATCGGGTGACGGTCGGCCACACCACTCTGGCCGGTAAAAACAACGTCCCTCCCTTCCAGGTAGGAACTAAGGACCCGCATCAAGTATTGGGGCACCCTGTGATATCGGAGCGCCTCCAGAATAGTACGAAAGGGGAGGCTGTTGAAAGCGTTGGCGATATCTAATGACACCGCCAACACCCGTTCCCCCCTGCTAGTCGCATCCTCCACCAGCTCCCTCAACCCTGTAAGCGCGTCAATGGTGGAGCGTCCCACGCGGAACCCAAATTGGCTTTGGGAAAGATTCGGGCCCACCTCGGAAAGATGCTGGATGAGGCGGGAGGCGACAACCTTCTCAAAAACCTTGCCGACCTCATCCAGCAGAACTATTGGACGATAGCCCGACGGATCGTCCGCGGGCCGGTTCTCCTTGCGCAGTAGGCACAAGGTGCCATCCTTCCAAACCTTCGGGAACTGCCCAGTGCGGAGACACGCATCGAACAGCTCCCGAAGACGGTCCCCAAAATGGCGTAAGGAGAGCCCCAAGACTTTACCCGGGACCCCGTCGGGACCAGGAGCAGTCCGCTTCCCTTTTAATCGTTCGATCGCCGACCTAAACTCATCCTCATCAATGGGAGGAGGGTCACTTTCAGCGGAGGCCACGTCTGCTACTGGCGGCGGAGCCATGCATGGCGGAGAGTGGCCATCAGACGGAGGGAAGAGTTCCCGGACCACCGAGCATAGAAGTGCAGGTTCCAATGTCTCGGTCAGGGGGGTGCCGCGTGCGCGCAACTGGTTGCGGGCGGATTTGTAGGGGCGTCCCCACGGATCTCGATTAAGGCCCTGCAGCATCTCCTTCCATGCCTCCTCTTTGGACCGCGAGATGGCCACTTGCAGGGCTACCTTGACCTCCCTGTATTGGCCGTACAGGTCTTCCTCCACCTGCGGCTCCCGAACACGCCGCCTGCGGTAGCGCGTATAAGAGCGGCGGGCCGCAGTGCAGCCCGTCCTGAGGGCTGCCAGATCCTGAGACCACCAGTACACTGCGCGACGGTTCTTCGGAGGGCGCGACCGAGGCATGGATGCCTCGCACACCTCTGTGAGGGCCTCCTTGATGTGGGTGGCTCCCTCTTCGACATTGGGACCGTTCATGGGCGGCAAACACCACCTCTGAACAATGGCCGCCTCCTCCGCCATCTCTCGGTCAAGGCGATTCAAAGCCCAACGTGGGTGACGGTCTCTTTGTGGGACATGGGGTGGTGGGGAGCGCTGGGTGGGAATCTCGAATCGGATGTAACGATGATCCGAGAGACTCTCCACCCGCGTCATCACCCTCCAGTCGTGGACCCTTTGCGCTAGGGCAGCGGTGGCGAACGAGACGTCCACGATTGACCCGCCCAGACGGCGCACACAGGTGTGGGTACTCCCCCTGTTAAGAAGGGAGAGACCAGAGGCGGCGGCCCAAAGTTCCACGGCCTCACCGCGCGCATTAGTGGCAGGATTGCCCCAAACTACCGATTTGGCGTTCAGATCCCCCAAGAGGAGAACCTGACGCGGAGCAGCGCGCCGAACAGCACTTCCGACGGCAACGAGGTAGGCCTCAAGGTCGACAAGCGGCCTGTTAGGGGAGAAGTATACCCCGACCAAGGTGATACTCTCCCAGAGAGCCACGACAAATCCGTGGCCCCTTTCCACGACAGAGGGGGGTGTGTAACCCGGCGCTTGGCGCACTACGATGGCTACTGAGCCATCCCGATCACCAACCCAGCTGGGTTGGTCGGGGACAAAATATGGCTCCGCAGCGACGGCGACGTCGACAGACCACTCCGCCAGGACTTGCAGCAGCAGGTCTTGGGCCCTGGTGGCGTGGTTCAAGTTACACTGGAGGAAACTTAATGGTCGTCTTAAATCCATAAAGATTAAGACTCCATTGCTTTCTCCAGTCCAGCTACACCAGACATACCCTCAGTGGGAGGCCTTGGCTGCGACGCCAGGACCTTCCCCCTCGTCTGGGGGGGATTGCACTTTCTTCCCCCCATGACGTGACCGGCCGGTTTGTTTAGAGCCGAGCACACGGCACAGTGTGGCTCCATGCTGCATGTGGAGCCTTTGTGGCCGATCTGCCCACATCTGAAGCACAGACCACTCCTATCCATTGAGGAGGGGCAGCACTGTTTAGAGTGGCCTGTCCCATAACACTTGAAGCAGCGCATGGGCCGAGCCTCCAAGACCGTCACACTAGCGGAGCTGAAGCCAATCAGCAGGCGCCCGGCGGTAACCCTTTTGGCCGCGGTGACCGGGCACTTGACAAGTGCCGAGCCAGAGCCTCCAGGACCGGGCCGGATTTCTCCGACCTTAACCTGGTCTTGTTGGCATTCGCCTTTTCTGGCAATCACCGCAACCAGCTCGTCCTTGGATATTGAGTCGTCCAAGCCGGAGATGCGAAGGTCCACACACTTAACCGGCTGGACAACTTTTGCCACGTCAGATAGGGTCTCTCGCAGCTTGTTAGCGAGGAGGCCTGCTTTTTCGGCAGACTGGGTGCCGAAAACCTCTATAATGCGGGCCCCCGTGGCCGTGTGCCGGCACCTCAGTCTGCCGAGCTCAAGCTCATCAAAATTGTGAGCTGTCCGGGCTTTGCCCAGGGCCTCGCCATAGGTTAACCCTTTCTCGACCGCTGCGGCGTCAAGCGTGACTATCACAGCGGCCGATTTCGGAGGAGCCAGTTTGGGCTTGGCTGGCTTTTTGGCCGACTTCGTTGGCTGAGTCTGCCCTGGGGCACTTTTCTGCGCCGGCTTTGACTT